GGCCGGGACGCGGGGCAGGACCGAAGCCAGGCCTGGACCTTCGGCCTCGGGGGTCTTGGAGCTGCTCTTCAGCACGCAGGCGGGACGGGATGTTTCCCCTAAGCCCCGCCTCCCCCAAGACCCTCCAGGCCCAGTCTGTCGAGGCCTCTGGAAGTGGGAGAGTTGACGCCTTCAGTGAAAAAGGCTCCTTCTTGGCCTTTAAAAAGTTTGGGCACGACCCGAAGTTTCTTAGGCAGTGCGAGGCCGTGACCCTGAGTCTTGTGTTTTCGGGGATGGGGATGCGGGGCCTGCGGTGTTCGGAGGTGAAAGAGGAGCCCGTAGTCGGCTCATCAGCAGGGCTGACAGAAGCCCTCCCCTCGGTTTCCTTAGTGACTTTGCCTGCCCTGAGCCGGCGGAGCGGGGCTCCCGAGCGGGCTGGCCGAGCCAGGGCTGCGGGCGGGCGTCCTCTCTGCATCGGAGAAGTGCTTTTGGTGTCTCGAGAGAGTGGCCGGAAGGGGCTCTGGCGTCAGGGTGTCCCCATCACTTGGGGCAGAAGTGGAGTGTATCCGGTAGGCAGGGCCGTTGAAAGGCCTGCAGGAGAGTTATTGGTGTGTTTGAAGAAGAAAAAAATCAAGTCGTGAAACTGCCCCTTAGTGCAGAGTGAAATGAGGCAGTTATATACGAGGGGGAGGCGGGGCAAGTAGGTAAAAGCAATTTCACCCGGTTCTCTAGACACTTACCACGTTCTTAGAATAGAAAGCAAGTCTCTTGTTTTTCAGCCTGGAGCTACAGTTCTCAGTGTGGTCATCACCAAACCTGTTTGCAGTTCACTGAGGTGCTTTTTGAAGCATTTATTAATTCATTCAGGGAGCATTTTTGGAGTTCCTACTGTGTGCCAGGTGCAAACAAAATTTACAGCTTCCTGGCTCCTCACTGAGCCACAGTCTCTGGGTGGTGCTTGGACATCACCTTTGGCACCTGGTGATTTTAGTACACAGTGGAGTTTGAGAACCAGTCATGGAAGGCGGAGGTGGTCCTGCCACAGTCAGCAGACCAAATCCAGCCTGATGGCTGTTTTCACACAGCGCATGAACTAAGAATAGTTTTTACACTTTTTAATGGTTGGGGAAAAAACATCAAGAGAACAACAGTGTTTCACGAAACAATTCAAATGAAATTCAAATTTCAGGGTCCGTAAGTAAAGATTGGTGGGTTACTGCTATGCTGGTTTAAGTACAGGTTGTCTGTGGCTGTTTTGTGGTTAGTGCAGAGCTCAGTAATTGTGACAGAGACCACAAAGCCTGAAATATTTTACTATCTAGCTCTTTAAAGAGGGTTTGCCGGCCCCTGGCTTAGGGAAAGATGGACAGGAAAGAACAGCATCTCTGTGTAAAAATCATATTTAGAAGTTAATAGAAAGAATGGACTACAGTAACTTTTATTTTCAAAAAAGCAAAGGAAATAGAGTTTATTTTCTCTGAATTAATGCAGAAGTGTTTAGAATAACTCAGGCATTTAGTCAGAATTTTCCAGAGATTGTGAGCTTGTACCCTTAAGTTCTCTAATCATTTGCTTCTTTTTGTAGGCTGGGTGAACTCATGGGCATGATCCTTTTCTCTTGAGAAGCAAAACTAGCTCAAAAGAAAAATGGCATTTGTTGCAACACAAGGGGCCACAGTGGTGGACCAAACCACTCTGATGAAAAAATACCTTCAGTTTGTGGCAGCTCTCACGGATGTAAATACACGTGAGTTGATCCTTTTCATAATTAGGAAATGCATTGATGTGACTCCTTCATCTCAGTTCAAATGATGTGCACACTGAGATGAGGAGTAACATTGACTTTTATGCTCATTTCCTCTTCCTCTGCTTTGTGGAGAAGCAAAGTGATGAGCATTACTGGCTGGAGCCCCAAAGAGGCACGCATGTGTGAGGGGGTGTGTGTGTGTGTATCCGTATCCTTGTCTGTGCATGCACACGCGTGGCTGGGAGTACGAATGAGTGTGACTGGTTCTAGGGAACTAGTTATGTGCCTTGCTTTGGACCATGACAGTCAAACTGATAAGATCTGATTGCTTCTCTTAAATTATTAAATCCAGTGATTTTAGAAACAGCCTTAACGTGATTTGAATTACCTGATGGTTTATTTGCTTTGCCATTTACAGCTGATGAAACAAAGTTAAAAATGATGCAAGAAGTCAGTGAAAATTTTGAGGTATGACCTTTATATTTTATGCTTTTCATTTTGAGATAAATATTCATACATGCTTTTTCCTGTTGCTTCCCTGTCAGTCTTTTTACTAGTAACTTAAAAAGAATTATCTTTTAAAATGTAACTTGTATTTGAAAATTGAAGTTTGAGAATTTCTACAGTGTTGTCCAGCTTCTTCACACTAGTGACAGTGCACCCCAGTATTGAGTGTTGCTTTTGGTTATTTGACTTTTTTTCATTTTAAAATATGGTAGCTATTTTAGGCATATGCTTTCAAGATACACTCAGACTTACGTTGCAGATTTGTTATGTTCAGGAAGTAGATGTTATGTTACTGTGGAATGAGAGCTGGCTGTCAGTTTTGGCTCTCTTGCTTGTAACCTCTCTGACCTTGATCAGTTTCTCTCTTCTGGGCCCAATAGTCTGTAATTTTATATTTACTCATAGGTCCCGCAGATTCTGTTCATTTTTCTTCGGTCAGTCTTTTTTCTCTTTGTTCTTTGATCTTCAGATTCACTGACTTTTTCTGTCATCTCCAGTCTGCTGGGATGTTAATATTTCAGTTTATGTGTATTTTTGTACTTTAAAATTTTAGTTATCTAGTTATATGGTACTTTCAGTTTTAGAATTTCCATTTGGTTCTTCTTTAGATTTAACTTCTCTGCAGGGATTCCCTGTCTTCATTTATTGAGACCATGTTTTCCTTTTATTCTTTGAACATATTTATAATAACTGCTTTGAAGTCTTTGCTAAGTACAACATTTGGGTTCTATAAGGGTTGATTTCTCTTGACTATAGGTGACATTATCTTGATCCCTTGCACGTCTAGTAGTTTTTTGATTGTATATCAAGCACTGCGTGTAAAATGCCCTCGAATCTGTTGTCTCCCTTGGAAGATTATTGATATTTTTACTGCAGTCAGCAATTTGGCTGCTGGCTGATCTCAGTGCACTTGTGTAGGCTTGGCTTTATGCTGTGGTAGGGAGGATCTTTGGGATGCCCAAGGAGTTTCCAAGTCCCTCTAACTTGGTAGGATTCAGCCTCCAAACCACATCTCCCTGTGGGTCTCATCAGATGTTGATTTTAGGCTTTGTTGGGACAGGTCTAAGTTAGGCCCTACTCCAGGGCACGGTACTTCCCCAGCCAAACATCCGAGGTGTTTTCGAGGTTAAGATCTTTGCACTGTGGTGAGGGTGCAGTGTCCTCTAACGTTACTAGACCTCTGAAACCTCTCTTCGTCTTGCAGTCCTAAAGTCACCACTCCCTGGTAAGCCGCAGTTAGTCTTACCTTACCTTACGTGTAAGTGCAGCCCTGTCCACAGTCAGGGACTCATAGGGGACCATCCCCACCCCATTCTATAGTTCCTTTTTCTCCGGGGCTTTGCCCTGCAAATTCCAGCCACTTCAGCTACTGCCAACTCTGGTGTTTACTCCTCAGCTCAGCAGGACAGTCCTGCTTTCACTGGGCTCCAGCTGGCTGAGCCCCAGTCGGGAAGGTGAACCTGGCAGAGAGCCAGCGTGGTCGTGGGGTGCAGCTTGTGAATTCCCCCTCTTCTGGAGATCGTGACTGTTCCACACCGCCTCTCATCTAGCACCTGAAAAGTGTTCTCCCACAGTTTGTCCAACTTTATGATCAGTCTGGTGCCAGTTAGTCTCATAGGCCGAAGAGAAAGTCACTTTTCTTGTTTTTAACTTGGGAATGATAAAACCTTTCTCACAGAGGTAATGAGATTAAGAACAATAGATAAATTGTTTCCTAGCCTCTGTCATGGTCGTTTGAATTCATAAACATTAACTAAATGTTAGTGCAATTGAATCAAATATCCTATCTGTAGAAATAGTTGGTAGTTTTGTTTGGTAGGGGGACTTTTGTTTTGTTTTAAACAGATGATTACAAGGACTCATTGCCTTGAACTAAGCTGGAAAAAAAATCCTGAGATATTTAGAGACTGAGTTAAAGAGTTTTCTCTTCCATCCAAGCTGTTAATGCAAACTGTTAAAAAAAAAAAAAGAAACACTATAAAAAGAGGTGGGAGGTAGAACAGGAAAGGCCTGCATTCTGTGTTTTATTGGAAGAACTGATGGGAGAGAACCACAGCCCTCAAAGGTTTATTTGAGAGGCTGGAACTGTGGAAGCTGCCTGTGAACCTGCGGGAACAGCACATGCCAGGCCTCTGCGTGTGGGCATGCGGCTCTGTGCCTTAAAGGGCTCACCCCTTTCTCTCCTGGTCAGTGTCGGGCAGTTAGCAAGCTGGTTCCTGGCTTTGGTCTCAGGTGCATTGATGAAATTAGCAGAATGAAACGTTAGTAAAGTAATATACTTGGGGCTTTTCTAAATAGTGACTTTTGAAATCTGTTTGATAGACATTTACCTTAAATGAGATTCAGATAACTAAGTCCTTCAAAGAATTAAATGCCAGAATAACCATCTGTAGGTAATTATAAATTACTCCCACTACTACTACCCAGAAAAAAGTGTTTAAACGAAGTGAGTGAAATTTAAAAAAGAATTCCCAATGGTTTCAGGAATCTTAAAAATTCGTTTCATTAACCACTTAGGGAGAAGATTCCAGGCTGAGTAGTTATCTATGGCTCACCTCTCAGGACAGAAAATAAAGAAACGTTCCAGTGAGAAATCATGTGAAAATTCATATGGATCTAAAAGCTGGGGGCTGAGTTGAAATACTGCAGAATAACTGGGCAGTTTGTTGAATGACTCTTTTTTTATGGGAGAAACTTGAAACTCAGATGCTTGAAGGCTGTGGAATCGGCAGGTGGTGTGGGCTTCTGTGCAGCCGAGCTTGATTTCGCAGTAACCTTGATGATGTTCCAGCATGACTCTTACCCCTCTTTTCCTTGAATCCTTGAATGTGCGTGTTTGGTAAGAAGTCTTACGCTTTGGGGATGGAAGGTGACAGACGCAGTTCCTGTCCCCAGTGGCTCACAGTCCACTTGGGGAGAGGTTGTTGAGATGCTGCACAGCTCCAGGGGCGCCCCCCCCGCACCATGTGCTCTGGGAACAGCCCCTAGGACTGGTCGCTGGATTGCCAGGAAGACTGGTACTCAGGTGTGCTGTCCGAGAATTGTGGTTCTTTCTTTGCTCCTGTGGCACCACACTCTTTCCTGCTTTTTGTCTGTTTCTTTCTTGGTTGGCGCCTCATGTAATAGACCACCCCATATCTATCTGCACCCCACATCAGGGTCTGGAGCTCTATATATGCACTTAGCTACCCAGATTCCTCATCTCATTGTCTTCTCAGACTCATGATAGTAAAAGTTTTAATTCGTTCCTCTTATACTCCCATTCCTACCAAGTTAAACCAAAAAAAGTTCAACATGTGCCTTTTACACTCATACTTTCTTATAATTTTGTGCCTTTGCGTGTACTCTTAGAACCTTTCCCACTCTC